CCGAGGGGTGGTAAAGAAAAACAGCAATGCAAACATATTACAAAGAAGAAAACAAGCGCTCTGTATTTCGAGAGACTGTTTAATCCAAGATAAACGTAATTTTGTTTAAATAAAATATATTAACCTGAATTAATAATACAGGAAACTAGAGTGAATTAATAATGTACGTATTCCTGGTCTCGTGGTTAAACACTTCCTTGTAAGAATACTGTATTAACCCTGTTTGGCCAAACAGCTCGCTATTTCTCAAATAACATCCCGTGATTTCGGGAGGAGCCACGTCCCCTTCCCGAGTCCACCCTCCCCCGGAGAGTTTAAGCAGGATTTGCTAGCCGGACATCAAAACCCCTAGAAGAAGAAACGCTTAGGCTAAAGGAAGGTTAGCGAGCAAAATCCGGGGTAATTCCAAACGCGAAGGTATTACGAGCCGATAATTTTTAATCCCGGAAACATACGTGATATTAAATTGTGCACAAATAGGCTTTACCGGGGTCTGGCACTTTTTCCCGCCGCCGGTAATAAGTGTTAAATAATGTGGAAAGGAAGGGTGACATTGCTTTATATATGGTTTGCAAATAAGAAAGGCCTTTTTACGCTCCCCTGCCTTTTCCTCCCGACGAACAGGTGGTCTTAATCAAAGCCCTCAGCACGATCTAATGGGAAAGTGGGGACCTTCTGATATAATAAATTTATGAGCCCTTCCACGCCAGCTTTATTCGACTAAGTATTTATAAAAGTAATATCCACATATGCTCCCTGACACGGTAACTTTTACTTCCTCCGCCGAGAAACAAATGGTTATTTTCTTAACCATCAATTATGAACCCGGATTATTGTAGTACACGCAAAATTTCCTGCCTCGTGACCGTATCAGCCGGCCTGGTTTTTACCCGTCGGGCTGCAGGGGAAGCTGCTATCTAAACACCTTTAATGCCGCTAATGAAAATGTAAGTCTGAGCCGAAGAAGCAGCGCGGGGTTGCCTGACTATCAAAGCCTTCCCGTTTACGGGGAAGGGAAGCGCGGGACGACGGCGGACGCGGCTGTACCCCTGCAGATGTGCGGCTGCATCCCTGCAGATGTGGGGGTGATCCCCGTGTGCGGCCCCAGCCCGTGTCTCTGTGCGTCGGATAATGGCAAGTCCTGAGACGCCCTGAGCTGCCCGGGCGACTCGCTGCAAATCGTAGAAATCACGGGTGTCTTCTCGTGACTCGGGCGGGTTTTGTTGGGTCTTGGCGTTGATTTGCTTTTCAGTCGCGCGGCACTCGTTGATTTTTGCCTTGCCTGACTGTCAGGACTTCGTGCTTTACGGGATTTACCTCCCAAAAAGTCTGGTCCTCGGGGCGGGCTGGGTGAGAGGGGGGGAAGCGGAGCAGGGGCTTTCTGGGAGCCCCTCCGTCAGAGTTCAGTTTCGGAAATTACGAGGGCGGTCAGGTAATTTCGCGAGTTAGGCACCGCCGGTGGGCACAAGGAGAATAATCCCTAACAAGCAGCACCGGTAATAGCAGTAAAAAATGCGAATGTTTGGTCAAATCGATGCTCCCGTGAAAGGAGGAAACGAAAGTCGGTAGGAGACCCTCCAAAACGGCACGGGCGCGCTGGGTTCCCGCGGGGAAGGGGGCGCGGGGAGGGAAGGATATTCCAGAAGAAACGGGTCCGTGGCCACGCCGGGGAAAGGAAAGTTGGAAAGTATGAAAATATTACTGCAGCCTAGAGTGTCAAACGCAGCCCGGCGGGTGTCATGTTTACCCGGAGAGACGGGAAAACTGCTGCCGGGTGACCGGTCCCACAAAATCAGGAAAACTTCAGCACACGCTTCGGCAGCCCCCAGCATGCGTAAATGGTTGCTGGTGGGTTTATTCGAGTAATTTTTATGCGGGGCGGGAGGACGTTTGAACTATTTGTGTGTGTGTGTACGTGTACGTGTGTGTGTGTGTGTGTATACAATCTATACAATTTGTTAGCAGTGTGAATTCTACTTGAGGAATCCTTTCCTGTAATCGATAATCTGGGTATTGCTGAAACGGCAGCCTCCAACATAAAACGTTGACATTACATTCCGCCTTATATCATCATTCAGCATCACAAATTGATTGTTTCAACTCTTTTAAAAAAAAAAATATTCTTTGGTCTGAATATTCCGTAACTTAACATCTCTTCTTCAAAAACAAAAAAACCAACGCTGATTCAGCTTTCCGTCCGGATCAGCTGAAGACACGGCAGCGTGCAAAGCAAAGGCCCCCCGGTGCCTTTTTTGAGCCCCGGGACGAAGGGGGCCCGCAGCCTCCGCCCCCGCGGGAGGGAGCGGGC